CGGCTTGGGATGCCTGGGTGGCTCAGTTGGTTAAGTGTCTGCCTTTGGCTCAGGTCATGATCTCAGAGTCCTGGGATCAAGTCCCACGTCGGGCTCCCTGCTCAGCCAGGAGCCTGCTTTTCCCTCTCCCGCTCCCCCTGCTTGTGCTCTCTCTCTGGCAAATAAATTCTTTAAAAAAAAAAAAAGAAGAAGAAGAAAGCTCAATGGCTCCATAACCCCAATTTCCACTTGGGTGGTTAACCTAAAGAAATATTAACAGCGAATTATAAGTACTTCTCTATCAGTTGTTACAAGAGATTGAGAAGATTTGTGCTTCTATTTTTTTTTTTTTATATTTACAAATGAATCTAGTGCCATGATCTCAAGTGGCTTTCTCATCCTGAAGCCATTTTACAAAGTAGAGAAAATTTGGAGGGGAAAGCAAATATCTCCTAGAATACTAAGCCTTCTCTTCTTAATCTTTAGTTTTAAATTCTCTGCAAACCTTATATATATGTATATCATTCATTATTCTTTGCTATCTATTAAGGTTTGCTCTCTGAAAGGTTTATTTATGGATAGAGCAGCATATATATAATCTTATTGGATGACCAATATAGAGATCAGCCCAAAAACCCCACAGTAAATTTATCATTCTTTATTAATAAAGAATTTAACAGCCATATTTTGATATCATCTAAAATATGAATTTTAAGCATATTTTATTATCTTGAGGAAAAAAATCATTAATTTTGCTGTCAAAATGTTATCATTTCCACATTAGTGTTGATAGAGTATTATCAAAACAAGTTCCAAAAAACAAGTAAATCCGTTTTCTACTGATGTCTCTGGGCCATTTTTGAGGCACATCTGACCTGAAAATCTTTGCCAAGATAGATTTCTGATATCCTGAGAAATACTTTCAAGTTATTAAATAAAAACAATTATCACTAATACTGTGGCATTCATCTGGAATGCACACACATAAACCACTGTATTTTAGAAGCACAAAGTAGAATCCCACAGGTTATGAATCAGCAAGAAGCATCTGGCAACAAGGTTGCAATTACTGTCTCTTGAATACCATTTGTGTGCTCAGAGCACAGAGAGATGTGATCAAACAGTGCTGGTCCTCAAGGAAATTATACTTCAATATGGGAGATCAATACAATCAGTTACAATAAAATGTCATGTGTATTATGACAATATAAGTAGAGTATGAGAATTAAGCCTATTATTATATTTCATGTTGCATTCACAAAAATGAAACTTTTTAAATGAACATTTTGAAAGGGATAATGCTGCTTGACCACACTGGGAACAGTCATTAAATGCCCACTCAGTTCAGGGAGCTATATGTAAAAGTATCTAGATATATTATTTGACTAAAAGTTTATGAAAACTAAAAAAGTCTATCAACTAGCATGACTGAATTCACATTTTAATGAGCAATCTATACATTTTCCTTTTCTGTAACAAAAATAAATTATACAACTTTAAGAGATAGTTTATATGTAATCTTCCACATCCTCTGTCCTGAGGAAATGGGAGAGATGCCATTGCTAATTATGCCTGGCTGGTCTCATCTTGGCTTAATCTCCATTTTTCCTCCCAGAAATTTTTCTGGATCATCTTCTGTGGTCCATTCAGGTGCTTCCCTTTTCAGTTGTTCCTATGTATGGACATTTACAGTATTTGTAGAAATGTCCTTAGACTTTGTTAATTTGGTCAAATTTCACCTCTCATCACAATATGCCTAGAATGAGCTCTGTAAAGTGGACATAGATGACCAAATTTGTTAAACTGAAGATACTGCCCCTTTCTGTAGTGTAAGAGTGATTTCCTATCTAAAGTCTAAATTATAAAGAAATTCCTCATTGTGCAGAAACATACATGCTGGACATTTTCTAGACATCTAAGCATGTTAAATGTTTACTCCTATAGTCATTTGGAGGTTTTTCCTCTACAGCCATTTGAAACCCAACATTGTCTAAGACAATTGTTTAAGTTGAGGTCTATAGATATATTTTTGCAGGTATAAAAATTCTATAAGAAACTGAAAGGAGATTTGCATAGAAAGAAATTTAGTTGCATAACTCAGTGTTTCCCAAACTGTGGTCTGTGGATATGTTCTTGGAGATCCACAACACTTTTTTTTTTTTTTTTTTTTTAAGATTTTATTTATTTGACACAGAGAGAGCACAAGCAGGGGGAGCGGCAGGCAGAGGGAGAGGGAGAAGCAGGCTCCCCGCTGAGCAGGGAGCCCGATGTGGGACTTGATCCCAGGACCCTGGGATCACAACCCAAGCCAAAGGCAGACACCCAACTGACTAAGCCACCCAGGCGCCCCTCTACAACACTTTTTAATGAAAGGATTTGTGTATTACCAAATTTGAGAAAGATTTATACTGTTATTACTGTTATACCTGCTTCAAAAGGAGAAAACCTTTTGAAAGACTCTCTCCATCTTCTTTCTCTTCATATATTACTTAAAAACAAGATGAAATTCAAGAACCCTCTCTCCTAGAAAAATGTCCATCTCACAGGTTTTTAGTGGGTTCTAGAAAACTGGGGAACAAACCTCAGGTTAAGAACCACAAAGTCTACACTAAAGAACAGTATTTTCCTAACCTAATACAGAATATTTTAATAGTTCTTCTGGGCCCCATGATCTTCTCATAGATTGTCCTCTTAGCAAGACTAGAGATCGAGATCTCTTAGAAATGTTCACTACTATGAATTTCTGCCAGCTATCATCCATGACAAGTATTTCCCAAAATGTGTTCTGGTAAGTAATGGTACAGAGAGATGTTCTATGAAGAAAAATAAATATGAGAAGCAATATATTTTATAGTCCATATATTACATTGGACCATTTGAAATGTCTTACTGTGTAGGGAATTTCATATGGTTCAAACTAACTGTATTTGAATGTGTTAATAGTTAATGCCTTGTTACTCTCTTTTGCCCTTTTTTTTTTTAAAGATTTTATTTATTTATTCATGAGAGACAGAGAGAGAGAGAGAGAGAGGCAGAGGGAGAAGCAGGCTCCCAAGGAGCAGGGAGCCCGATGTGGGACTCGATCCCAGGACCCCGGGATCATGACCTGAGCCGAAGGCAGACGCTTAACCATCTGAGCCACCCAGGCGCCCCTCTTTTGCCCTTAAATATTTTTCTGCTCATAACCTTGCCAAACAGAATTCATTTGAGCTTATGTTGCTGCCAATATATATACTAGCAAGTATACTTGGTCAAAAACCAAGCTAACACTAAAGAAAATTATTTGCTTTGAATGAATCAGCTACTAACACAGCTTACATAAATGAGCCTGACAGTCCCAAATCCTAAGATTAAACACTACATGATGCCTAGTCAAACAGATATGTGCAAGAGCAATGAGATGGAGAGAGCAAATGATTTCCTCAGCACTCCTGTATGTTATGCGAGCACACAATAAACAGTTTTAAAAGCTGCAATAACAGGTTTTGCACAGTGTAGTGGCTATTGATACTGAGAGAACATTTGAGAAGCCACCATCATTTATTTATCACATTTTATATTCATCAGATAATACCTACAGTCAGACACCAGTACTTAAGGCACAGAGGTTCAAAGATTTTTTAAATGCCATGGTAATTACAATGGCTTGTTGATATACTGTAATTGAATGTTAACATCTCACTCTTTCCATGGTTGTAGAAAAATGTTTTTAGTACTTCTAGATATAATCTCAATTCTAAGAATATTCTATCAACCAGAAAAAAAAAAGACTGCCATAAACTATGAAGGTTAACTCCTAAAGAGAAGCTACGAACACATTTCAAGGAAGAATAATAAAGTACAACATATGATAAAGTCAATGTATACCAAAGCAAGAACTTCTCAATTGGGCCCCAGAAACTTAGTCTCCCCAGCCTCCAGGGACGTGAAGGGCCATGGGGTTGTGATGAATGATCTCCAGATTACCCCAATGATGTGCATAAAAATACTATTTTCTAAGAGTGTCAAGGAATTAAAAGATTGGGAAGCAACAATTTAATAAGAGGTACTGATGTGAAAATCAAGAAAACTAGGTTCAACTCCTTGTCATCCCATTGAGTTATCTTAAATTACTTAAATTGGAACCCTTAGGTTCCTCATTACCTGCTAAATGAGGACTAGTTTAAACTACTTCTAAGGCCTCTTCTATTTCTAAAATTCCATAATTTTCTTTGCATTTACATTTCACGAGGTAAAATAACATTTAGTGGTAATTTAATTAAAAGCTCTAAATTCAGTCATTCAATAAATATTTATTAAGCACCTAATCTGTGCCAGGCATGTGAGAATCTGGAAAACAGATACAGAAGACAGTGTCCTAATATGGGGTTACATCTACTTCATTGTGAATATTATATTTTATTATGAATAACCACTGTGTCCCTTTAATTAATAGTAAAGTCTACTGAATAATGCCTAAGTTCTAGAAACCTGTATGGATAATGAAAAGCTTGCCTATGCATAATTAATGTGAACTTTATAGTCAGAACATCTACCAATATTGAAGAGTTTTCTTTTCTGTATCCTTATTTTATTTTTTTTAAAAAGGGTGGGGGCGGGCGCCTTGGTGGCTCAGTTGGTTAAGCGACTGCCTTCGGCTCAGGTCATGATCCTGGAGTCCCTGGATCGAGTCCCGCATCGGGCTCCCTGCTCAGCAGGGAGTCTGCTTCTCCCTCTGACCCTCCCCCTCTCATGTGCTCTCTCTCATTCTCTCTCTCAAATAAATAAATAATCTTTAAAAAAAAAAGGGGGGGGTGGGGGCACCTGGGTGGCACTGTGGGTTATGTCCAACTCCTGGTTTTAGCTTGGGTTATGACCTCAGGTTGTGGAATCAAGCCCCGTGTCTGGCTGTGCACTTGGTGCAGAGTCTGCCTGGGACTCCCTCTCCCTCCGCCCCTCTGGACCACACTCACTCTGTCTCTCTCTCCCCCTCTCTAAAGCACTGGGTGTTATAAGCAAACAATGAACCATGGAACACTACATCAAAAACTAATGATATAATGTATGGTGATTAACATAACAATAAAAAAGACATTTACAGTTACTGGTAAATTGCATTGACAATCAGAATCACCTTTCAAAGTATACATTTGTAAAAATAGTTTATTTTAAAGACTCTCAATAAGATTTCAACATCTTATTTTCAGATATACCAAGAAGACAATCGATGTGTTCAATATATTTTAACCCATGATGAAAGTTGCTCCAGATCTATTAGACCTATATACATTGTTAAATTGAGCAGGGATAGGGAAAACATGGATTCAGTTTTAATTAAATATTACATAGTTAGATTTTCTCCTCCACAAAAGTGAAATTTTCATATGGATACAATTTCACAAAGATTACAAATATATATCAACTTACAAGTGAAGGAATCATTTAGTATTTTACAATGTTAAAAATCTAGCTCCCTAACTGCTTTCTTTAAAAAAAAAAAAATTCTTCCCATATAATATAAAAAATCCAGATTTCTCCAGAAACGTATACAGTCACCTAGTAGTAGGATCCAAAATGGGAAGAAGTACTATCCCCAGAAGAGGGGGGTGGAGGCAGTGGTGGGGGGGGTGGGGGAATGGAGTATGGTAAGGGAATTAATGGATGAGGTGCCATGTTAGGTGCAGCCCACCCCAGGTTTACAGATGCAGGTGGTGGAGGTGGAGGGAGTGGTGGTAGAGGAGGAGGGAGTGAAAAACTGTGCATGTCAAACACTGGAGGAGGAAAGGGATACTGTGGCATGATAGGATTCTCTTGTCTCTGAGGTGGAAATCCTGAAGTCTCCTGAAACACCATATGCTCGGAGTTATAAAACTGTGGTGATGGAGGCCTGCCGTGGCAAGGTCGAGGATATCTACCCCGGGAAAATCCTCGTGAGAATTCTCTGTTACGATATCCTTTTGAATGCTCTGAAGCAGAGCTATGAACATTCCAATTCTGATGTACTTCTGAAAAATTTTCACCTTTGAGTGAAGAAAAAAGCATAAAAACAAAATTAAAATTAATTTTAGTACATTAAAAAACACTGCTTAAAATTTCAAAAATGCCTTTTCTTTAACTTCTGGTATTGTCTTATGGTAACTAAAAAAGCATAAGGCTTAAAATTATCAATTTTTAATGAATCCAAAAGGCCAGAGGCTCAGGAAGGACAACAGATGTATCATCAGAAACCATAGAGGACAGAAGAAAGTGGCTCAACATTTGCAAGTGCTAAAAGAAAACTCAATCCAGAATTCTAAACGGAATGAAAATATCCTCAAGAAAAAAGGGAAACTAAAGACATTCTACAATGAAGAAAAACTATTAATTTATCTCCAGCAGATCTACACTGATAGAATGACTAAAGCAAGTTCTCTAAGCAGAAACAGTAAAAGAAAGAAACTTGAGACATCAGGAAGGAAGAACATGACAAAAATATAAGTAAATACAATAAAATGTCCTTCTTTGAATTTTCTAAATGATGATTGAAGTAAATATAATTGGTAACATGATTCTAATTGTATATATGAACTATTTAAGGCAATTCACATTATAAACTAGAGAAGATAAAGGGACATAAAGAGGTAAAGTTTCTAAGAGGTAAAGTTCTACACAAACTGGCAAAACAATGACACCAGTTGATTGTGATAAGTAACGTATATACAATTTAATACCTAAATTTAATAACTACTGAAAAAAATCATACAAAATGATACATTCAAAAACACTACAGATAAATCAAAATGGAATTCTAAAAAATGTTATAGTGCTGACAAGCAGTCAGATAAAAGAAAACAGAAATGAAAACCAGAGCAAATGAATGGAAAAGGGCAGACCAGCCCTAAAACATCAATAATTACATTAAATATGAATGGTCTAAATACATCAATTAAAACACAGGGAATGACTGGCAGAGTGGACTAAAAAACATAACCCAACTATATGTCTACAAAATACTCATTTCAAAGGATATAGTCAGGTTGAAAGTAAAAGGATAGTGAAAGCTACAACATGCAAACATTAATCAAAATAAAGGAGTAGTGGGACGTCTGGGTGGCTCAGTCGGTTAAGCATCTGCCTTCAGCTCAGGTCATGATCCCAGAGTCCTAGGATCGAGCCCCATGTTGGGCTCGCTGCTCAGTGGGGAGTCTGGTTCTCCCTCTCCCTCTGCTGCTCCCCCTGCTAGTGCTCACTCTCTATCAAATAAATAAATCTTTTTGTTTTTAAAAAAAAGGAGTAGCTACATTAATATCAGATAAAACAGATTTCAGAACAAAGAAAATCATCAGAGAAAGAGACAAGAGAATTCAACAATATACATATAAAGAATTATACGCTATGACCACCTCTGGTTTATTCCAGCGATGCAAAGGCTGGTTCAATATTCTAAAACCAGTGTAATCTCCTTAACAGGCTACTGACAAAAAATCATGTCATCTTATCAAAGTACTGTCAAAATTTAACAGATTTTTTTTTTAAAAATCTCCAAAAAATAGGAATAGATGGGAATTTACTTGATAAAGAACATCTACAAAACCCCTATACCTAAATTATACTTAATGATGAAAGACAATGTTTCCTCCCAGGATCAAGAACAAAGCACATTTTATTCAACATAGTGCCAGAAGCTAGAGCTAGTAAAAGAAAGAAAGGGAGACAAAAAAACCCCACACAGTTTGAACAACAAAAACAGATAGAATACTCTCCCTATTTGCAACTGACATAGTTGGCTAAGCAGAAAATCTCAAAGAAAAAACTCCTAGAACTAGTGAGTTCAGTAAGGTCACAACATATAAGCTAAACGTACAAATATAAATTTTATTTCTATATTCTAGCAACAAAAACATGGACACTGGAACTAAAAATGCAAAACCATTTACAATGACTTGAAAAATTAAATATTTAGGTGTATACTAATGAAAAAAAAAAACAGAATTTGTATTCTAAACATGACAAAATGCTGCTGAAAAGAACCAAAAATCTAAATTAATAGAGATGTATACCATTATTGCACAATGGAAGACTCAATACAGTTAATGTATCAATTCTCTCCAAACCAATAAACAGGTTTTACACGACTCCCATTAAAATCCCAGCAAGAAGGGAAAAAAAAAAAAAAAAATCCCCGCAAGACTTTTGCCAATATAGAGAAGATTATTATAAAATGCATATGGAAAAGCAAAGGAACTAGAATAGCTAAAATAACTTTGAAAACTTTTAGGAAAAAAAACAGAAGAAAAAATCTGGAATGTAGGTCTAGACAAGAAATTCTGACTCCACAAAAGGAAAACAATAAATTAGGCTTCATCGAATTTAAAACCTTTTGTCCTGTAAATGGCCCTCTTGAGAGGATAAAAATACAAGTTACAGGCTGGAACAATTATGTACAAACTTCGTAACTCCAAGAACAAAAAAGCAGAAATATAGTTAGAAAATGGGCAAGAGACATGAACAAATATATCACTGAAGAAGATATGCAAATAGCAAATAAGGACATGGAAGGATGTTCAAAATCTTTAGCCATTAGGAAAATGCAAATTAAAATCACAATTAGATATCACTACACACCTATCAGAATGACTAAAATAAAAAAGTGACAAAACCAAATGTTGGTAAGAAAGCAGAGAAACTGAGTCACTCATGGGAATCCAACTACCACATAATCCAGCAATTATTCTTAGACATTGATCCCAGATAAATGAAAAGCTGTATTCACACAAAAATCTGAACACAAATACATAAAACAACTTTATTCCTGTAACCAAAAAATGTTAACAACCCAGATGTCCTTCAACTCATGACTGGTAAACAACCAGTAGTATAGTCATACCATGGAATACTACACTCCTAAATGAAAAGAAACAAACATGACACATAAAACGATCTGGATGAATCTCCAGGAAATTATGTTCAGTGACGAAAGCCAATCCCTAAAGGTAACATACTGTGTGGCTCCATTTATGTAATCATTTTTGACACGACAAAATATATTATAGAAATGGAGAACAAATTAGTAATTGCCAGAAGTTAAGGAGGTGGGAGGGAGGGAAGTGGGAGTGACTATAAAAAGGCAACATGGGGGATCCTTTTCTGTGGTGGAAATATTCTGTATCCGATTGTCTCAATGTCAACATCCTGGTTGTGATATTGTACTGTATAGTTTTACAATATGTTACCATTTCAGGAAAGTGGGTAATGGACATGCAAGAAAATCTCAATTATTTCTTACAACTGTGTGTGAATCTATAAAAAGTTTAACTTTTTTTAAAGTTTCCTTTAAAATTTGAAAGGCATAATGAATGGAAATGCATGTTAAAAAATAAAATACTTTGATTTAGGTATTAAGTACCCTATCATTTAATTCTAAATATGGAAGCAAAGAGGTTTCTTAAGAAAAAAGTGCCTATATGCACAAATGACTAACAAGGCTTAGTTTTACCCCTAGAAGCCATTTTTACATACTGAAGCTTGAAAAACTAACACTGAATATCCCTCATGACTCTCCTCTGCCACATCTCGTATTGTGTAAAGCCTCCTATGTTAGATGAATGCCACGAGGTAAAGAGAGATCCCACATGTTTCCTTCAATTTTATTAGTTATTGACTTATATAAATGTTAAGTGAAGATAAAAAATTACTATATATTGCATTTACTCACTTGATTCATTAGATTCAGACTTGAATTTTTTCCGGCCCTGAATCTGAGATTTTTTCCTCTGTTTGGCTTCTTTTTCCTTTTCATCATCACTGAAATCTAAGGCCTTGCAGAGGAAAAATATAATTATGTCAAATGGATTTAATTCATTGGTACATACTTGGAAGTGAGAAGGATAGGCCTATTATTTAACACTGACCCTGAAAGAGTATTACTTTTTGATATGTAGTATTTTCTAGTAATATCTGAATTAACTATTTATGACTCTTAATTAACACAGGCCAGAGTACTCAAGGCTTTTTTTTTCCTAGAAAGTTTTGGATAGATAATTCTTTTTTTGCACAGATAGGTAACTTTAAAATGCCAATCTTTAACAACCTTCAGATATGTGTATTCCCTAGCTAGAAGACTGACTTCAAGCTTGAGTCAAGAATGTCAACAATGCTAAAGGGAAGGAACAGTTAGGAATATGCAAATAACATCAATGATCAGAACTGATAAAAAATAGAAGAGAATGTTTTATCTTTCATTCACTCAAAAATTTATACATACCCATTATATGACAGGCACTGTTCTAAACATTCTATAGGTATTAATCCTTTTAATAATATAATGTCAAGCATAGTAAGGGATGTAAATAAATAAAGCAAAGTAAGGAAAGAGAAAATCACTGCAGATGCAATTTAGACTGGGCTGCAGGGAAAGACTTAGATAATATCTTTATCTTTAGAAGATAAACTCAAGATAAATCTCTAATGATGAATTAGCAGTGAATAAAGGAAAGGAAAATTTCAAGGAGAGGGAATATGTGCAAAGGCAGGGTACATTTGAGACATGAAACTGGTTTTGTAAAGCAAAGCAAAAGCTTCTTATATAGTGAAATCAGAGATGATAAAATTGGAGAATAAAGAACTTTATGTCCCAGTCACTGGGCATGTCCTAAGAGCAGGAGGGAGGTATTAAAGGATTTCAATTGGCATTGTTTTATTTTAAAGAGACTGCTTCGGCAATATTTTGCTATCACTTCCTAAAGTCAGAAAAAAATTCACATGTTTCTTGTATACATATTAAATTTGCACTCAGACACATTTATTCAACTACAAACTATATATTCATGTATTAGAAATGCATACCAAAGTGAAGAAGATGCATGCCTTATACACAATCTATGATTAACGTCAGGCAATAATTCTATACTACAAAATTTCATAATAAAATAAACTTTAAAATCTCAAAGAGTTTTCCCCTATTACAGAATTAAAGGACATTCAGTCAACTACTTCAAAAACAAAGACAAAAACAAAATAAAACACACCATGAAGTATGCTGGGATTTAATTTTAAAATTAACCTAATCACACATATTTTATAAACAACATTACCATAATTAGCAACTTCAAAGCTGAGGTCTAAAACAACAGAGATGTATTAGGATATTTTCATTTCACAAGAAATATGTTTTAAGACCTTTGTGAATTTTCTCAAATACTTTAAAAGCATGTAACTTCAGTAATTACTGAAGATGACCTAAACATAACTAAGAACATTAAGGGAACCTTCAGAGCCTTAACAGAAATCACATGTATATACAACATAAATTAGAAAACATAATCCCATGGCATTGTGAATACTAAACTAGGATCACTCACTGGTTAAGCAAACCTGTAAGTCAGCGTTACCTGATTCATGCCTCAGCAAAATTAGAAATTAATATGAATCTTCAGCACTGCTTGAGAACATCTAAAATGAATAAAGTTAAATCTACAAACCCAATAAATTTATATACTATAAAACTTCATGAGTATGTTTAAAAACTCTCACTTATAATTATATTTTCCCCTATAGTGTGTATATTCATACGATTTCCAAGAAATGTATACACTTATTGCTGCAATTTTTATATTTTAATAACTTAAAAAAAAAAAAAAGAAAATCTCCATGGAAAGTTAAATAACCCTACAGATTATTCCTGACTATTCCACATCTCTAGAAAAACTGTACATCAAGTTACTTGAGACATAAAATTAATCTTGCTGGAATGGGTTAGCCTGGTGATGGGTATTAAGGAGGGCACGTACTGAATGGAGCATTGGGTGTTATACGCAAACAATGAATCATGGAACACTACATCAATAAATAAATAAACAGGGAAAAACAATCTTGCTGACATGGATTCAAGAAAGAAAATTAAGAATCCTCTTTTTAGGAATGTAATTATATTATAAAAACTGGAGAGGTAGGTAGATTCTAATGATTTTGTACCTCCAAAAGAAAGGCAGCTTATTATAGGCACCATTAAATGTATTCATGTCCCATATGGTTAACATATTAAAAAATAAAATTTTTTAAAATAATGACAATTCTGCCTTTACCAGATGTCAACAAAATTGATTTTTAAAAATAGGAAATTACAAGGAAAATAATAAACTGGTACTTATTAAAATATGACTGAAAATATTTTTTTTTTTCCTGCAATGATCAATCAAAAACTCTTACTGAGGGGTATAAAATAGTCATCTGGGAGAAGGGGAGAGTACATGCTCCCACAGATGGCAGTATGACTGCCAGGCAGCATGAAAAGACCTCCTTTATTTTTTTTTTTAAAGATTTTATTTATTTATTTATTTGACAGAGAGAGACACAGCGAGAGAGGGAACACAAGCAGGGGGAGTGGGAGAGGGAGAAGCAGGCTTCCCGCCGAGCAGGAGCCCGAGGCGGGGCTCGATCCCAGGACCCTGGGATCATAACATGAGCCGAAGGCAGACGCTTAACGACTGAGCCACCCAGGCGCCCCATGAAAAGACCTCCTTAAGGTCAAGATGAATTTATAAAATTAAGTTCTGAGGTGCCTGGGTGGCTGTGAGTTAAGCATATGCCTTCAGCTCAGTTCATGATCTCAGGGTTCTGGGATCTAGCCCCACTTCTTCTCCCTCTGCCCCCACCCCATTGCTTGTGAGCGCACACTCTTTCAAATAAATAAATAATCTTAAAAAAATTAAATCCTGCTTTACTTTCTAAAATATTATGTAAAGAGATTTATACTTACTTCCGGTGGTGGTTCCTGATCATTCTTCCATGACGCATCCGATCCCCTATCCCTAGAAAGAGAAAGTTAAAAGAAAACATGAAGTACTTAAGATTCTGTGTTTATAACTCAGTAGTATAGAAAGTAAGTAGAAGACATGGGCTCAATCCTTAATTTTATAATATACATGAAAATAAGAGCAAAAAATAAACGACCATGTATATGTTCTTCACCTTGTTTCAGAAGATGTGGGAAGCTCCTAAGAAAAACACAAAATCTGGACACATATAAAATATTAGGACTGGGGGAATGAGAATGAGAAGCCAAGACTATGGTGTGCAGAGGAAAGTGGCTTTGCAGTTCATAAGCATCTCTAGATGCTATGACTTTGATACTTTCATGATACCTGAGCTCAGTTCATAAAGCTCACCTCAACAAATGCTTATTCTACACCAACTATAGGTCAGACACACTGTTTCAGGTGCTAAGGACACAAAAATGACCAGGAGGCACTCCCTTAAGATTTACAGGTTTAACGGTAGAGGTAACAACATGAAATTCTTCTTCCTCTATTTACCTGAGGAATATCAACAATATTCCATGAGTAACCAAAGCTTATTCCAACAGTATTCCTCAAAGCAGAGAGGGTGGAATAAAAGCTATCTCATTTGGTAAGGAGAAAGAATTCTGAAGAGTCTGAAAGACAGTATAATCACAAGCACTAACTACTTTTAGTGGAAAGTTTTATACTCTACAATGAACAAAAATACATATATTATTAAGTATGACTATGATTTCTGAAAGCTCACCTTTATCTCTTTAATCTTTTTGATTTTGTAAGTTTGACAGTATCTTGTTACTCAGTTACATTAAAATATTATAAAGTATTAGGAGTAGACGTTGTCCTCACTGCTTTAAACTAGATCCCAAAAACAAATGAGATTCTCAGGATTTAATTCATTAAAATCATTAATATATTAAACCACAATCCATAAAAACCAATGTACAGATGTCAGTGGGCTGGCAAAATAGGAATATCATTAAGTCTCCTCTAAAATTTTGATTCAGAACTTTTGACACTGTACATGGGGCATTATCAATGATTTTTCTACCATTAAAAAAAAAAAGCTTACTCGTTAATGATCAGTTTACACCTATGCATTTAACACAGCTCCAGTACTCCTTTTTGCATATATGCCATCACACGGCCTATGGGGTTTAAAGACATAAATGGGGAAAGTTCCCCAATAGCGCATTTACCACAGAAAATCAAAATCTACTAAAGAAGAGATCAAACAACATTTCAAAAAGCACTTTCAACAAGAATAAGCTCATGGGAAGCTAAAATTAAAATAGCCTTACAAGAGGTGGATAAACTAGAGGAGGTGACCTTCTCTACCTCAAAGGCAAAGTACTCTACTGAGTGCCCATGCAGACACCAAATTGCAGTCTAGAATAAAAAAAAAAACTTTGTTAAATGGGGCTTCTGCTGGGTGGGCCTAATTTCCCAATTTAGTTTATTGTTTCTTTCCAGGAAAAAACTCTTATTCTTGCAAATCAAGAACACAGACTTCTCTTGTTTAAAATCTATTTAATAAATGTCTTTAGAGAAGCTTTTCAAGTTTATCTGTTTTAAGCTAAAATATTTTTGTTAAAAGCCGAAAAATCACATATCCACAGCAACATCCTAATATTTAAAGCAGAATGAAATGCCACCTATTTAAGGCATGATTTTAAAACACGATTTTTCTATTTAATTTACCTTTCTTTTCAGCGGTTACTTAGAAAAATCAACCTTACCAACCTGAAGAACTTAGGCAAAATGTTCCTCAGATAATTATGTGGATTCTTAAGCATGAGTTTAATGAATTATGATAAATGAAATTCAGAGACTTGATTTAATATATAAGTGCTTTAGAGATTTTACACCATGCAATGGGGACTAGTACTTTTGAGGTAGCAGTAAGGCTACTCACTGACTGAAGTTCCCCTCTCTGTTCTGCAAAAAACACATTCCTACTGCTTCAACTACACTTCAAGTTTCCCATCAAAAGACAGCTATACCTAAAAGGGAGTTGTGTGTCAAACTGAGTGCAAAATCTTTTTAGATCCCCACCCTTCCCCCTATCTTTCTTAGTGTTTCTTCCACTCCTACTAATTTTACAGTATTTTTAGTGGCTCATATTCATTACATCTTTCAAAGCATTCAACTTTTTTTTTTCCTGAAAAAACTATTCTACTTAACCATATACCACTGATTTACCAAAAATAAATTATATGATTATAATAACAAGTTCAACTGATATAAGCAGCTTTACAGCTAACACTTAGCAACACAAATAATACATGGAAAATGCACAATTAATGAGTAGCATAAACATGCAGAAATATTACTACCCAAATGTCACAGGCATCATTTAGCATCCACAAAATGGAAAGCAGTAGTTTGTTGGTTAAATCAACCCTGTTTAGGGGCGCCTGGGTGGCTCAGTCGGTTAAACGTCTGTCTTCAGCTCAGGTCATGATCCCATGGTCCCGGGATCGAGCTCCACATAGGGCTCCCTGCTCAGTGGGGAGTCTGCTTCTCCCTCTGCCCCTCTCCCTGGTTGCACGTGTGCTGCACATGCACCCTCCCCCCCCCAAAAAAATAAATATAAATTTAAAAAATAAGAAAGAAATCAACCCTGTTTATCAACTTGATACACAACTTTTTAGGGGCATATTTTTGTTCTCTCTTCTATAAATTTACAATCTATAAGCAACCAGAAATTTATTAATTTTTTTTTCTTGAGAATTACCAAGTTTTATTAAACAGTTAAGCCTATAATGAAATCCAAGGAATAATTCTATTTAAAATGGAAAAGAATTCTTTTTAAGTGGTAATACTAATGCTGAAGTAGCATGTTTATAAAAAAAAAGGTATGTCATGGAAAAAAATATGAATTAGAATTCAGAAACTTTATATGGCCTAAATGTAGTCCTGCTAGTTGATTATGTCATTTTGGGTAAAAGATAAAAATCATCTCTACCTGTAAAATCTGATAACAAATTGTAGCTTTCAGAGATGTTATTAGGAAAATAAATGAATGCTTTGGAACACAGATACTTAACAAGAAACTACCTTCACTGAAAATTATTCGTAAAATATAAATTAAATAAGCAGACAACAACTAACATGTCAGTAACATACTTACTGTTTAAGTTTTTCTGTGAATATGTACTGGGTGAAGTCTTTCATTGATGGAGCAAAATACATAGTATCCTTTATTTTAATACCTTTACTCTCAATGTGCTCTGAAGAATTAAACCGTAACACATAAAATGGATGTGCGACAGGTCCAAATATCTCAAATATCTATAAAACAGAAGAAACGTAAAGACCTTTAATATGCAAAATAATAACTCAAAAAATAATTTTTAAAAAATTGATAATTGTTATAACAAGGTAATTTCGTCATGTCAGAATAAAATTGTATTTATATTTAAGTCATTTTTGCATACTCACAGTCTTCATATTTTGATTATAAATGCATCAACTCATTCCAGATTTCCTTTTTATGAGAATTTAAAACAAGTGTAGCAAATCTGTTAATTGCTAAATTCAAATCATCTTGGTGGTGTATGAATTAGAGACAAATTATGAAGTTTTTTTTATCATTCCTCATTTAAGTTGTAAAGTATGAAGAATCACAATGGGTAGCTTTTGAGAAATAAAATGCTGTCACTTGGAATCTTATAACACGAAACTTAAAAGCAAGCTTCTGCTTTAGTGGGTATTTAATCATTTCTGCTGTTTCCATACAGTAGTTAACATTTTTCATAAAATTAAACCACAACTGTTTCTAATTCAAAACTTAGAAAAGTAGATTTGAACTTGAAGTTGCTTATTTCTCAAAAACCAAAGAAGCTTATACAGTCTTTAACTTTTATATAAAGGAACTGCTTTTAGTACAGACACATTTTATTTCTGAAAATGTTTTGTGAATGATTAAAGGAAGCCTCTTGTTTTCAAACTCTTCTCAAATACCTAAATTCTTTGAAAAATGTTTCTGATAGTAAATATATGTATGCTATAGAAACCAGACCATGACCAATGTCAGTGTTCAACTTTTCTAGTCTTCTAATTCTTTTCTTCTGAGACCACATTATAGTTTTGTATACTGTTCCCTTTTAAAAACTAAAGTTGCATTAAGTTTTTCCATGTTATAAATATTCTTCGTAAGTATAATTTCAGTAGCTATATCAGTAACTCCTTTATAGATCTGGCATGATTTAACTTGTCTCATAAATAAGCACATTTAGGGAGCTTCCAATTTGTTCAATATATAATAAATGATGCCCTGATGAACATGCTTTTATGTAAATTTCTGTACCTCAGGTTTCCCAAAAATCTATTTGTAAAGGGTGGAATTATTGGAGCCAAGAGTATGATTATTATTAAAACTCTGGATATAAATTACTAAATAATTTTCCAAATAGCTTGGACCATTTTAAACCAAGTGTACTGAAAATGCCTGTTTTAGTACATTATCAGTTCTTCATTTTTGATAGTAAATATTCTCATTTCATTCTCTTTAAGTATACTATTCAGGATTTTTATTAATTTTCAGTGAGGCATAAAACAGTTCACCTATCAGGGTACCAATATTCTGAAGGCATGAGTACCCCGTACCCCCAAAACAACTAGTAGTATTCAATACAATTAAAATGCCAACATATTCTGAAGCAACACTAATAGCATAATTTTTTTTTTAAATTTTAAAAGAAAACAGCAAATTTGCTTTGAAGGATTTAGATACAAAGAGTAGACCTTGTAGACCTCTTCCAACTAGAACTGCAAAGGACAGAGGGATATACCGCAACACCACTCTTACTGGTTCACATTACATAAAGTAATGGATTATCTTGTCACTTTTTAAAAAATCTTTTTTTTTTTTTTAAAGATTTTTATTTATTTATTTGACAGAGAAAGACAGAGCGAGAGAGGGAACACAAACGGGGAGTGGGAGAGGGAGAAGCAGACTCCCTGCCGAGCAGGGAGCCTGATGCGGGACTCGATCCCGGGACTCCAGGATCATGACCTGAGCCGAAGGCAGTCGCTTAACCAACTGAGCCACCCAGGCGCCCTTAAAAAGTCTTAAAACAATTCTTTTTTAAACTCCTTTGATAAATAGTGACAAATCTGATTCTTCAAGTTTGGACGGGGATAAAAAATTTGTTTAGAAAAATTTTCCATAAAGATATAATAATCACGGTTAGCAACCTGGTACATAAAGCTGTTCCCCAATGATTGGTTTCCTGGACGAAATAATTCCAGTTCCTAACTGAGAAATGATTTCACTAGAGAAATGCCTGAATAGCTTCAGGCTTACACAGAGACTGGTTTGAACTAAAATGTAAGTGACATTCAAAATGCCTTGATAAAATCAAAGCATACTTGGTTGACTATTCTTAAGATCTCAAGTGTTAATGAGCTATACCTAATGATAAAATCATTACAAGGTTTTAAGTAAAATAATTCCACATACAACAGGTAACAGGAAGCTACTTTAAGGAATCCATACATGTCTTACACCAAAACTGAGAAGTATTTATGCTCCTACCTCGGATAGCCATGGAACACTTGACTGAGTTGACATAAGCAATTTAGCTAATCCAGAGTTACAGAAAAAAAAAGGTTTAACAATATTTTAAATTACTATAAGCTAAAAAGTATAGATTTTAGATCGGCTAATACCTGAGAGCTAAACTCTGAAGAGCAACCTCAGACAAAGTAGGGGTCGGGCCAGCCCACTTCATCCCATAGTTTCATTAAACCTTGCATCCTGGCTCACTCTTTAGACCTGCCTTTGTGGATTCTGCAAGTTCCAAACTACCTGACTACAGATAAAAGGAAAGGAAGGAATATGGCTGAGACAACAGTGTAAGGAACAAAACTCAGGATAATAATGTCTTAAGATATTTACTTTAAGGTAGGCAAGAAGCTTTCCTTATACTTTAAATAACAGTATATATCCCGTAGAAATACTCATAAAAATTTAATCCAACTAATGTTTTATACTTGCCCTGTCATTTGAAAGGTAGTTTTCAGTGTCCTTCCACTTGGCTCTAGCTTATAATACTTACCATCTCTTATTCAAAAGCAGTATCTTTCTGCTAAAAAACCTCAAAGGATTCTTGTCACACAGAGAGATCACAAACACACACCACTATCACATTATACAGATACAGCATAAGGTCTGTTAGGAAAAAAACTGACAAGCAGAGAAGTAAATTCATTCCCCCAAATTCTCATTCCATAGCATAATCTAGGCTTAGGTGTTCTGTATGCTGCATGGCCAAAGTTCTAGCGGCTGGAGACCAGCCTGAGTCAGCTGGCTAGACACGCGCAGAGAGCACTCCAAGAGAGAGAATAAGTTGCACTCTCCCATCTCCACACACACATTATATACTTATTGGTTAGCCTAAGAGGGACGAAGTAATCCTAGTTTCTACAGGTAACGAGAAACAGATCAAAGACTCTCCAGGCCCAGGAATAATGGTGAAGACTGCGCAAATGGAGAGCCAAGATCTGCATACTTCTGCTCTGAGAACAGCCTTCAAAGAATGCCATTAACAAAGGCCTATGGTTGTTCCAGCTGAGCCACTTTTTGGCTAACCTACCAAAAGGGGAAAGGGGGAAATGAACCCCTCACAGCCATTCAGAATTACCTCTTTCTTATCAATCACTTTACACTAATCACTGTGTGTTACTATTACTTCACAAGTTGCTGAGGGAGGAGAAAATAAACCACTGTATCAAAATAATACAGAATTTCAGAAAATCAACACGTACTACCAACCAAGATTGTAGTATATTCTTTTTAAAAAAGATCAGTAAAAATTCCGGCCCAACTCTAACAAACACACTGAAAACTAATGAAAAACGAGTAAGTAATTCATGTTATATAGGGATAATAAATTGCACAGATTGGTCAATTTTTAAATCCCCTGATAAAGAGCTAAACATTCAAAATAAAAATTCATTCATCATTTATCAAGAGTAACTAATCATCATTAGGATTAAAGGGCAAAAGGCTGAAACACAAATCCAAGGTTACCTCCTTTAAATCAGTGGGTAAGGGGGAGGAAGGTGGAGGGAAATGCATCAGACATATTAACTAGGTTGTAAACTCAACTTTGTTCCTTTTTAAAACTCTGTGATTTTTTGAGTAAATGGGGATCATTCCACTTGCTTGGAGTTTCAATGAATTTAAAAAGATACACAAAATATGTATCACTGTGGCTCATTATTATTGTTGAAGAGCAGAGGGAAAAGAAAAGATGTACAAAGGTTTGACACTGAAGGTAAAACTAAATCAGTATATAGGTAAGATCTAAAACAGATTCAATTTCATTTTCTGGTCACTGGTTTGTTGAACTGATAGTCCCAACCCTCCCCACCCCTGCACCATTACTTTGGGGAATCATGTCAAGGCACTTAGATGTATAATGAAATATTTTTTAAAGGCTTGTCACTTCTTGAATTTACAAAGCTCTCTATGTAAAATTTAGAAGTAGATTTAATTTTTTCCTCTAGACTTATGTCACATAACTAAAGTTAGAGGCATAAATGTTACATTTTTATCTGACTCCTTCCAAAGTCAAATGACAAAAGAGCTGAATATTAACATTAGTCACAATTATAGAACTAAAAGTTCAGCTGTATTGGGGGATATAAGAAATGTGAATTTAGAGGTTTTTAATTAGCAAAGTGTTGGGTATTTTGAAATTAAAATTGTCTCAGCTAGCTACTTAAAAAGACAATTGTCATGAATATCATAAATAAAAGGAATCATGGAAATTATCAGTTTCAAATGAGTTAGAAAACCAAGAAATAAGTTTCCATTCCCCGTTCTCCCCTCCCTCGTCTTCTACTACTTTCCAGAGGAGAGCGAAAAATGCTTTGCCTTTGTACCAGAGCAGAATACTGGTTTCTCCTAAAGTAGTATACATACCAATGGGCATGGAGAGCTACTCATGGCACAGTCATTGACTCATTTCCCATCCCTTTTCTCTCTCAACCTTCTCTGAGGTTAAGCCCCCTAGTCAATCTCTAACCACTTACAAAGGCACCAGCAGAACTCACTTGAAACAAAAAGACTGAACTTAGGTATCTGAAAGGGAAAAAAGTACAGCACCATTCTTTAGGCATTGAAGTCTTTCTTCCCCTCACCAACTTTCTCAAGAATTGCCAAAATATATTAGCTCTAGACTCCCAATTAATTCTGTCACTGATTGCTCTGCCATCCTAAGTCACTCATTTCTCTTTGGTAAATTAGCCTGTCAATCTAAACAAAAAGAAAAACAAAACCAAAAAAGTATGTAGGTGGTACAAGGTAGGCAGGACCCTGATAAAAATCTGACCTCTTTCTAATCTGTGTTAGAATGGGACAGTAGGAAATAGCATATAAAAGGGAAATTTATACGAATGACCTAATAATATAATTAAAAAGATACGCTTTTTTTTCTGATTAGATGTAAATTAATTGTATCTCCTAGAACAAAAAAGAAGCCAACTATTAGTTATCTAGGAAAAGCTAAACCCCAAAAAGTGACTTCCCCAAAGACAGCAGCTGGTTTCTTATTTTTTTTTTTTTAATTAATTTATTTATTTATTTGACAGAGAGAGACACAGCGAGAGAGGGAACACAAGCAGGGGGAGTGGGAGAGGGAGAAGCAGGCTTCCCGCGGAGCAGGGAGCCCGATGCGGGGCTCGATCCCAGGACCCCGAGATCATGACCTGAGCTGAAGGCAGACGATTAACGACTGAGCCACCCAGGCGCCCCTGGTTTCTTATTTTTATTTGTTTTCAACACAGTACACATTTACTCAGCACTTAAAATTTACAAAGCACTGTACTCTGTAGTGGAGAATGCTGAGGTGAATAAAACTACCCCTCCAGCCAAAAAAGAACACTTGGTTGGTACTTATATATAAATTTTTTTTTAAAGATTTTATTTACTTATTTGACAGAGACAGAGACAGCACAGATAGGCAGAGCGGCAGGCAGAGGGAGAGGGAGAAGCAGGCTCTCCGCAGACCAGGGAGCCCGACGTGGCGCTCAATCCCAGGACCCTGGGATCATGACCCGAGCCAAAGGCAGATGCTTAACCAACTGAGCCACCCAGACGCCCCAGTTGGTATTTATATTTTTGATCTTAGAGGTTTTACATCCTCTGCCAACGGCTCAAAATTGCATTATTTACTGGGTAAAATGTGTAGTCTTCCATATTGAAGATGGACATGCCAAACTGTTCCATTCGAAAGATGTTATAAGGAACTTGACTTTTTGGTGAGTACACATACTCATAATTCCCCAGAATGTGCTTACAGTGACACTTTGTACCTACTGCTAAAATCTTTTTCCCCCTTTTTCTTTTTTCCACTCTAAAGATTCCACCTGAGGAAGCCAAAGTCTAAAAAGTTTTGAAAGCCCCTACTCAAAGGGACTCACAAACCAAAAAAAGGTTAAGAACTACTACACTGTAGTTGCTGCACTCAACTTTGAGTACCTGGAGATACTCGATATGAATACAGGCCCTCTACTTCACAAGTTACATGACAAACAGGAAAAAATTGTATACCAACAGACACAAAGTACTGAAAAAAATCAAGAATAAACACTTCAGAACTCTAGACTGCTCATCTACTAAAATTAATAAATTCTCTTTAGGACAGATACGGAAAGTCAGAAAAACCAATCCACAAAGAAACAGAATAATTATAAGATTTGAATATATTTTTTTTTACAAACCTTTCCTGCTGCCTGTCGATCGCTTTTAAAAATTACAGTTTCCTCATTAACTGGAGGTAGGTTAGTCACAGATTCAATTATTACTGAAAAATGAAACAAAGGAGATTATTCCAAGATTTAATCAGAAGATAATGTAAAATTTAAGTGGGAATTTTTAACTCCAACATAATTTAAAATGAAATTTAAGGTGAGATAATATACCTCAGTAACTGTTCCTCTTAAAACAACAGTCTTTATTATCAAGTGGCACAAGGAAAAAGAATCTACATATTTTATTTAATACAAAATGCTACAACTCGAAGAAACAAAAACTAAAGTAAAATTCTCACAGAAAATTTTTATCACCCACTAAAAAGTCAATAAATTTAAGTCCTGTATGGGCCACAAATGTTAAAACACCAAGCTACCATAGCAAAGAGAGAAAACAAACAACAGGCTCTTAGAAAATTAGAGCAACAACCAAGAATATTTGCCACATTACACAGGTAATGCCATGTCCACTTGAGAAATGAAATGTCAGTTCAGGTTATTAAAATTCATTTTAAAAATTTCAACTGTATCCAATTAATTACAACAGTTACTGCTTCTAAGTTCTGAACATACATGTGGAGTAATAGATCACAGGTCAACATTTTCTGAGTTAGATCTGTTTCTGGAACAAAGATGATGAGTAAGGATTAATAATGATAGTGAGCACTAACAGCATTCATTTTCAATCATTTCTCCTCCCTAATCCCCTTCCCAAGAATCAAATTACATGAAAATAAAAGATCACCTAATTCAATTCTCTCATTTTATAAAAAGATGAAAAAACAGGACTTAAGAGAGTAACATTATCACATGGCCAATTCCAGACCAAGTCATTACCAGAACCTAGAATAACCTAGATCCCTAGTTCCAATGCTCTTCCTTTAACAACACAACTACTGACTGTGTTTCCACAGCCTAAAAAAACCCATTCTTTTTTTAATTATGATTCTAGGTGGCAGTTGCAGGTAGCTGGATACAAATCAACCTTAAGTTTGTACCACACATTGATAAAAATTTCCAAAGCTATCAATAGTCAAAGTATCTTCTAGTACAAGATCCTTAAATTCATGAAATCTCTCTACTTCTACCTAGGTGGATAATATTTAACTAGCCTCTTGTATTTTCCAAATTAAATGAGAGAGAGAAAGAAAAATAAGCCAGCATAACTTGTAGAACAATTGCAGAGTACAAAGCCAAATCCTCTTTTTCTCCTGGGGTCTTATTTGAACTCACATATTTTTTGCTTCATGTATTAATACTTATTTTATTTTCTCTTTTGTAATTTGGTCCAAATCATGTGAGATATTTTAGGCTCTCAAAACAGGGTAGCAGGTGCTGATTTTCAGTCAATCTTTATTCCTAGCAGCTTGAGAATTTTGTTATTCTATTAGGGTGTGCTAGTCAAAACAGTATCTTTAAAAAGCATTATCTTATGCATATTGTATAGTTCACATTTTTTTCTTGATAAACATTTTGACCTTTATTTTTTCTATATACATCAAGTCTAATGCTCAACTCACACTATGTGATGCCATAAGATAACTCAAATACCAGTAAATGTAATGACTCAAGAATCAGGTTAAGAGTTTTAATAATCATGATTTTTGTAAAAATAAATAAATGTTTCACTTTAATCAGAATTTTGACTAATAAATTGCAAAAGTACAAAATTATGTAAGTATAAACTTTTCAAAATACTGGTATGGACACTGTTAGAAAAAGGTCAAAAGTCCAATTTCTACCACTGACCCATTATACAACTAATCATAAGGGCAAGTGAGTTGGGTTTTTCTGTGTCCCTTAAGTCCTGTAAACTAAGAGGGCCAGTGGATAATCTAGGTCTTTTATCCAGTTGAAATATCCTTTGACTTTGTCAACTCTGAGTTCTACTTTCAGATGGATCTTACTATGAGAGCTAATGGTAGCTACGTGAACTTCAAGGCCTTTAGTACCTATCTCACAACCTGGGGCTAAAAGAAATCTATAATATCTAGTTCTCTTACAACCAACAGCTTTATATTTCATGAATCACAGAACTTTCTAATTTACATGTTTCTAAAATAAAAATCAAAGGCAGTAGGCAGAATAATGTTCCGCCCACCAAAAGACACCTACACCCTAATCCCTGAACCTATAAATACATTACCTTACATTAAAAAAAAAAAAAAGGATTTTTGCAGATGTGATTAAGGTTAAGGACCTTGAGATGGGGAGATTATTCTGGATTATGCATGTAGGCCCAACCTATGGAGTCCTTAAAGGCAAATAATCTTTCCAAGCTTTGGTCAGTGAGAGATGTGATGAAGGGGGAAGGGTCACAGGTAAGGTATACTACTGGCTTTGAAGATGAAGGAAGGAGTCCATAAGCCAAGGAATACAGGCAGCCTCTAGAAGCTGAAAGGGACAAGGAAATGGATTCTCCCCTAGAGCCTTCAGAAAGGAACTCAGCCCTGACGGACCTCTTGATTTTAGCCCAGTGAGACCCATATCAGACTTCTGTTCTACAAAACTATAAAACAATAAATCTGTGTTGTTTAAAGCCACTAAATTTGTAGCAACTTAATAGCAAAAAAAATTAATATACCAAATCAAAGACAATTCTGGAGAAATGTCAATAAAAGCAGACTTTGAATTTTAAAAAAGACACGGCATTTATGAGTTACATATATGAGTAAAAAATGGATTTATCTATTCAAACTTAACTATAAAATGAAGTATTATTACATATTTCACAGAAAATGCACTAGTCATAAAGTCTTTGATTTGATGAATGCATACTTGGATATAAGTAATTTTATTCATAAAATTATTTACATACCTAATTGCTCAATAATACTTGAAACCATCCCAAGAGGCTTTAATTCAATATCTTCAGGCAGAATAATAGTGAGTTCTTCAACAGAAGGTAGTTCCTATAATATAAAAAAAGCATTGATCTTCAACCACTAAAAAAAAATAGGACATCATTTCCATTTAAAGTACTATAAACATTTCTGAAGATGTAACATTAAGCACTTATACCATCTCTTTGATGTTATCCTTTTTAGTGTCTGACAATATTTCTTCTACTTCCAATATCTCCCCACATGAGTGATGCAACAGCATCTATACTTGAATCCAGCTAGACTAAGAACATGGACAAAAGTACCCAGATTTTTCCAACCATACTTGAATGAGACAAAAAAAAACAAAAAACGCTATTATTGTTAAGGAATTCAAGGCAAAAAAAAAAAAAAAAAAGCATTTCACTTAAAGTGATTCCCAGAGAAATGATTCTACTGGTCACTACAATTTCTCCACAGAAGAAGAGTTCTCTCTCTTAGCTGTCTTAATTTGGTTAATTAATTTGACAGGGAATAAGTAGTTGAAAAGAGAAACAGCAATCTCTTCTGGGGCTGTCTGAAAAAGAGTAAATGTCTAGCTTCTTCAGGAAAAAAAATCTAGAATTCCTGGGAAACAGAACATAGGCTCCACCCGGAAAAGCTGTGAAGTGTTGCCTCGTATCTTCTTTCTCTATGTTAAAATCTAAATTCCTTTACGTTAAAAATTCCTCTTTTCTGACCCAGCTACTAACTATACCTCAGTTGCTATAGAAACTAGATGTTGAAGTAGAGACGAAGTTGAAGAGAAATCTAAGAATAAAACTGACCTTAGCCTTTAAACTAAACAAACAGAACTTTCTATTTTTGACCTTTGCCAAAAGACCATGATTAACTTTTAGAAGGAAGTTCTTCCTTAAGAAGGCTTGAAAGTGTATGTTAGGAGTTGGTTGGGGAGGAGAAAGAGAACTTCTGAAGAAATGTTGAAAAAGATGGGAAAAGCCTAAACAATACAGTGTATTACAGATGAATGGATCATGGTAATCATTTTCCTCTTCAGGGACTCAAAGAAGGTTTTTAATAAACCATATAACCAGAGTTAAAGTATAACTTGCTTCTGGGAGATGCTATTTTCTGATCAAGAATTACTTACAACCACACTAAAGGTCTCAACCAACTTCACGCAGAAGACTTAACCTCGCACGGTTAGTCTGGATGGGGTCGTGAGGAAATGACGGTTTTATATCAGACTTTTTCTGAGTACTTTTAGGGAGAGGACAACCACTTGTCATTTTTGCATATTAAATATGGATAGTTTTTCTTGGCAAGACCATGGTTTGAAAGTGGTCCATATGTGTATTAGAATAGAGAAGGGAGTACAGTTCTTAGAACTGGTAAAGAACATGTGACATGGGATAGCCTTGTTAAGAAGCTCTTAGCAAAAGAAATCCCACACCCAGTTAAATACAAGAATAGAGAACTATAATGTTGGGAGACTGCAGACAGGAGGGCTTTCCTGATATTTTAGAGAGCAAATCACACTGCCTTCTGCTTCCGGGGCGGGGTAGTAGGTCTTAGAAGTAGCAAATGGCATTTTCTAATGCAGAAGTATAGTGATGAAATCTGAAATCTCCCCCACTGACTAACCAAATCACAGTTAAATCTAGAGCAAAAACTTTTCGTACTTTTGGACTAAATAAAGTCAGGATCATGTAGGTAGAACAAAGGAAAAGGAAGTCTCTAAGAGAAAGTGCTATTAGATCTTTTGGGAAAACCTCTGAACTGAGGAGGAGGGTAAACCAAATACTGTTAACACTTAGAACATAAAATCAATGTTATTTCTCAAATAAATAAATGCTATCTGGCCACAGAATGAAAAGCTCCTGTTTTGTATTTTCTATTAAGAGGAATAAAGTCCATGCAATATAATTATGTTTTGGTATAGGTTCAAATTCTGATACTGTTTTAATTTCTTTTAACTTTAAAATATAAAATACATGCTCCTGCTTTTTAAAGAAGAAAAAAAAAAATTAGTAGTACCGAAGTACTCAGAGTAAAAAGCAAAAATTGCCCTGATTACTTTCAACCTCCCAATCCCTCTCCACAGAGAGCTGTTAACAGTTTATCCTTCAAATACATTTACCATGCAGATATAAACTTTACATTTCTAATTGTAAAACATTTTACTTATATCCACATTATAATGCAAGTTATCCTTTTTACCTATCATATTTTGTACATCTTTCTACACCAAAACATAAACATCTAATTTTTTAAACATTCTTACAGTATATCACACTGTATAATTGTAACTTAACACAAGTTACCTGATAAAACATCTGTCTCTTTTTAATTTTTATCATTACATACAATGATAAAATGAACAATCCTTCACATACATCTTCGTGTAACTTCTGTGATAAATCCCTGTAACTGGAACTGCTAGATCCAAAGATACGAACACTTTTGACAGATACTGTCAAGTTTCTTTTCAAAAAGGTTCCATCAATTAACAATTCCACAAATGATGACAGATTTTCTCACATTCATGCCATCACTGAGAAGCAAACTAAATCTTTGCCAGTGTGATAGGTCTACGATATAAAATAGCATCTTGTTTTTATTTTACTTTCTTCATTAATCAGGAAGACTGTGCATCCTTGCATGTTTCCTGGCTATCCAATTGTGTTTATGAATTGTTTGTATATTTTACACATTTCTCTTTCAAAGGGTTTATCTTTTTATTAATTTATAAGAGAACTTTGGGTTAAAGAACATTCGCCCTTTATCAAATACGAAGAAAATACCCATTCCCTTTCCTCCCAGAACGGTTTTTAGTATTTAAGTTGCTTAATGAACTTCAGCATTTTAATTTTTATGTAGTCAAATATATCCAGCTTTTCTTTTTTTTGGCTTTTGAGACTTATGTCACAGAGAGAAAGACCTTCCCCATACCAAAATCACTTTTTAAATTCACTCATATTGGGGCGCCTGGGTGGCTCAGTCGTTAAGCGTCTGCCTTCGGCTCAGGTCATGATCCCAGGACACCAGGATCGAGCCCCGCATCGGGCTCTCTGCTCGTCGGGAAGCCTGCTTCTCCCTCTCCCATTCCCCCTGCTTGTGTTCCCTCTCTCGCTGTGTCTCTCTGTCAAATAAAAAAAAAAAAAAAGTGACTGTCTATTCCTACTTGTGTTCCTATTTGTGTTTTTTTAAATCAGACTGCTGAATTTCATCTAATGCCTTTTCATCATCTTTTGAGATAATTATAACATAATTTACTGTAAGTTGAGCAGGTCAGCTCCAGGGTCTGATGAAATCCTGATGTTCTCCTCTTCTAAAGATGTCTATGAGACACATCTAGCAATGAGGAAGACAGGGGAAAATATACAATGCTAGAATATTTGTAGTGATGCAGGGACCCACTCTTGTGGTCAAAAGCAGAGTCTGCCAGGCTTCCTTAATTTCTGTTATCCTGTTTCCAACCTATGTATTAACAGGACGAAACTGCCTACAAATGGGAGGATCTCTGCCTCATATAGAACTAAACTTAGAGAAAAAACAGACAGATACTGTTATCTTGCGATCACCACCATACCTCTAATTCCAGTTCAGTGATCCTGAGCATTCCTTAAAAAAGACCAATGAAGGCATTAAATTGCCTCTTAATAGTAACAGACCTACCTATAAAAGTGATGTGCATCCCCAATGTTTATAGCAGCAATGCCCACAATAGCCAAACTGTGGAAAGAGCCCAGATGTCCATCGACAGATGAATGGATAAAGCTGTAGTATATATACACAATGGAATATTATGCAGCCATCAAAAAATGAAATCTTGCCATTTGCAATGACGTGGATGGAACTAGAATATATTATGCTAAGCGAAATAAGTCAATCAGAGAAAGGCAATTATCATATGATCCCACTGATATGTGGAATTTGAGAAACAAGGCAGAGGATCATAGGAGAAGAGAGGAAAAAAATCAAACAAAACAAAACCAGAGAGGGAGAAAAAGAGTAAGAGACTCAATCTCAGGAAACAAACTGAGGGTTGCTGGAGTGGAGGGGGGTGGGAAGGAAGGGGCTGCTGGGTGATGGACATTGGGGAGGGTATGTGTTGTGGTGAGCACTGTGAATTGTGTAAGACTGATGAATCACAGACCTGTACTCCTGAAACAAATAATACATTATATGTTAATTAATAAAAAAAGTGATGTGCATGAAATCTCCATCCCAAATACTCTGCAGAACATAAAAGATATATAAAGAACTATATATTGTACATAAAATATATAAGAAATAAATGAAATCAGCCTAGTACAATTCCAGATCAAAAGCCTATTATGGAATTTACGTTTGAAAGTATAGTTATGTCAAGCAGTATATTTGCTTTGAAAATGGCGGACATTTTGGGGGTTGGATCAAAGAAGAAGAGATATATTTGTCCCTTTTAAACAAGCATGCTTTCCATAAAGATTTTTGTCAGGCTTGAAGAGGCAGAACTTCAGAAGGTTTAAAAGGAAAGTTCCTTGACTGCCATGTCAGACAGGACAGTATATGATCTTGTCTTGATATCTGGATGTCAAATGTTACTTTCTCTTCCCTAACTATGAAAGCTGAAGTACTGTACCTCCACCAAGCCTAGTTACCTCTTTACTAAATTATCCTGATTTTCTTTTTTGTAAACATATTACTGTCTAACATCCTATGTGTTTTCTTGCTTAAAGTTCATTTCCCTAACTATACAATAAATCCAACAATAAACAGGCTTTGGTCAGCCTTGCCCATTGCCATAGCACCCAGAACAATGACTAGCACATAGTAGGTGCTGAGCATATATTTATTAAATGACTTATCTCATCAGTCTGGGTTAAACAAAATTCTCAGAAGAGATCACAGTCTTTTTCAATCAGAGCAAAATCAGATAATGAAAATATAATTCCCAGAATTCAAGAGAATCCTCAAAGAACGGAAGTTAAAAAGGCAGGCTTCTAAGGAAGCTTCATTGCCCAGGACTAATGCATAGATACATCAGATTTGCAGCAGCAAACATTATTACAATTATTAGACTAACACCTAGCTCCCTGATTACA